TTTTTGAGTATGTGTGCTGCGTGTGTGTATGCATGAGGGTGTGTGTGAGTGTGTGGGTGTATTCATGGGTGTGTGTATGTGTATGCATGCATGTGTGTGTGTGTGTGTCTGTGTGTGTGTGTGTGTGTGTATGTGTGTGTGTGTGTGTGTGTGTGTAAATGTGTGAGTGTGAAACAAATCAACTGACAAACTATGAGACAATGATCCAACTCTCACCTCCAGATCTTCCGGCGGAACTTCCACTGGAGCCTGCCACGCCCTCGCGCATGCTGGGATAGAAAGAGTGGAGCTGAGTCCGCCGAGGTCCTTGTCCTTCGTCTTCCTGGGGGTCCATCATGTTTTCTGCAGAACACAGCAGAGTAAACACAGCTGTCAACTTCTGCAGCAGAACATCTTGGTCAAGGGGCCAGGGTGTCAGGCTCACAAAACTGTAAGCCTACAATAATTGTTGGTTCAATTCCCTTCATAATGAAGTAAGGCAGTATTTCCTCATCGAAAGACTTTTAAGTTATGTATTTCGGTTCACTATATAAGCAAATGGTTTTCTGGCGATTACCATACATGGAGTTAGGCGAGTGGTGGAATTAAAGTCCTCAACAGCCTGCCATGCTATAAATCCATGATGTAATGAAAGAATACGACAAAAACCACCCAAACCCAAAAGAAACAGAGTGAAAATAAACTGTTATCCTATTGCAGACATATTGTTTTTATTTCAGATGTACTGTGCCATACACACATGGGGCATGCAGCCACTAACAAATTCAGCCAGAAATTTTAGACCCCTATTTTGATATTTAGAAATGTCGACAGTAAAGGCTTTTTAAATATCAACATAAACAGAAGGAAAATAAACAAACAGAAGGAGAATATAAAAAAGCATAATGTATATGGCTACTCACCCATCAAGTTGCTATCTCTGGTCTCTCCACGCCTAAGCTCTGCATGTCCGCCTGCAAACAAACAAAGAAGAGATTACTATGTAGCGAAAAGACACATCTCCTTCACTAAAGACAACAAAACTGCCAGCTATACAATAAATTGCTACTTTATTTCAGATGTACTGTGCATGGAGAAAATGTAAAAACATAAGGACACACAGTTCAGTCAGTACCACGGAGGACTTCAACTTCAAAGACTTCAACATTGATTCGAATACATGACATGTAAGATAGTTGTGGGGAGTTGTATAATTCTTTGCCTTCTTCGATCAGTTTTATATGGAATGTTTTTTGAAGGACTCTAAAACAACAGTAAAGCTTTAAAACGGGCTTTAAACATATAGAATGCAATAGAGATATGAACACTTACGTGAACCATCATCTTCTAATCGAAGAACTGGAGATGTTTCTGTCTTTAGGATCCGAACTGTGGGAATAGAAGGGATAATGCAGACAGATTTGTGAAACACAAATATCAATTTCAAAACTAATATTACAAAATAATTAACTGTCATTTCACTGATATTTTCCTCATTTTCTTCAAACAATATTATTATAAGAACAACATTAAAAAGCTCTTTTGAATTTTATTCTTATAAGCCTTTCCATTACATTTTCATTTATCTTTATTTTGTTTTATAATTTTTCCTTAGGATTGAACAAACAATAAACATGAAAATATGAATCTGCAGAACAAAAGAGATTAAGTTTGAGAAGATGCCCTCCCATCCCTGAACATGACAGCCCGATAAACTTATTCTCTTTTGCAATTGAACTGAAATGGGCAGGCTTTTTTTTCTTTTTAAGAAAATAACTGATACATTGCATGACCAGAGAAAGTATGTTAACGAAAAAAAATCATTCAAATGCCAAGTATAGGAGGATGAGACTGTGGCAACAGAAATGGTATATGGTACGCTATTGTTAGAAACTGCCTCTCTCTATGTCAGGCAAGTCCCAATCCTGGACTTAAAACACATTCATTTCTTTCTTTTCTCTTCTTCCCTTTTTCTTTTCATTTCTTTTTTTTCTTTCCTTTCTTGTTTTCTTTGTATTTTCTTTACTATTCTTTTCCTTTTTGTCCCCGTTTTCTTTCATTTCCTTCTGTTTCTTTTTCATTTTTCCGCCCTTTTAATACAGACAAATGGACTACATACCACCATCTCCTGTTTTCCTTTCCATGGCGGAGGCCTTTGAACCTGGCGTTAAACTTTCATTGGTGCCCAGTTTTAACATCAAATAGGAGGAGCCGTTAGCATTGACGCAGGAGCTGTGAACCATGCCGATAGCATGAACTTCTTTGTCCCTCCCTGACAGCAGTGACACCTTCCATTTATACGTCAGAGTGCCAGGCGGGCAGTTTGGGCAGTGAGATCGGAACGACACCTTGTGGTTGGCATTGACCATATTTCTCCAACACTGAGGGCACTCGATGAACGTGCTGTGCAGAAATAAAAAAACAAAACATGTAAACCAGAGTGAGGAAGCGTATGTCAGCACAAAGCAAATGCTTTAAAAAAGTGACTGGACAAATGAAATTTGAGAATATCTACTTTCACACCAAAAAACTTGAAAAATCATATTGCCTATTAAGAAGCTTTTAAAACAGTAAATTCGCATCAATACCAGTCCTGTTTGGTTCACTGACTTGGGTATTCCAAGAAGTGTGACCTACAGTGCATTTTCTTACATGCTAGTTTTATCTCCACCTGACCTCCTCCTACCAGCCCCACCTTTATTCAACACATACAGGTGTCAGTGGTGCCTACCTATTTGGTTGGCATGAGAGAAATATTTATAATTATATGATATTTAGGGTTTAAAAATTCCTTATACAAACGTTTTATATGAAGAAAAAATAATTTTTACGTCCACAATATTTTTTTTTTAATTTAAAAAACTCACAAAATGGCAGAAAAAATGAAACACTTTGTGAAATGACGTGAAATGACATATACTAAAATGTTGGTGGCAGACACACACACCTATCTCCATATTTTCCTAGTCGTAAAACTTTTTGCAATGTATAAATGTATAGAAATTTATTGAGCTTTAGAAAAGAGCGCACAACTGAACACTTACTCAATCACTGGATCATTCGGCCTCAATCGGATGACTTGCGTTGACACAGACTTCCGAAGTACATAATTATCATCATCTTCCTTATTTTCATTATTTCCGGAACCTTCAGCAACCGCAGAAACTGTTAAACTGAAATTAAATTCTGTGTAGTTCTGAAGGAGCCAGCTGGCAGGAAAGACAAGTTGAGATGTGTTCATGACTGGCGTTTCCTCGGAGAAGTTGAAGCAGTTGGTGAGACGGTCTCTTAGCGTAGTGCAGTTCCACAGGTAGCTAAAAATTTGAAAAAAACAAACAAACATGTTGACACATTGCACCCTCATTCACATATGCCATACGTGGCAGGTTGCTTTGATCATGCCTCTAAGGGACAACCCAGAGTTTATGGGATAGACATATCTGGGCACCACTGGGATTTTGTGAAAATATTTGAAAATTGACAAAGTTTCCTTGACAAACACATAGACATAATTCTCATTGGGTTAAACAGAAAACAAATGTTAAGAATAACAACTGTTCTTCTAATGAAAATAATGGAAATAAGAGGGAAAAACAGCAAAACCGCATCCTTAACATTTCCTAGAAAAATATAGTGTTTCTAGATGAAATATCGTCAGCTTTTATGTGTCGGGTGGAGAGCCTATCCAATTCATCAAGCTGACGTTGAGTGATCAGTATACACAAAGATTCACATACAACACCAAGCAACATTTTCAATGCTAACTTTTGGGAAGGAAAAACCTCTGTACAATAAATTTCCAAAAGCTTTCTTGATTAAAAGAGGAAACAACAAAGGAGTGCCCCACTTTTATAGAAAATTCCACATAATCTCATGTTAATTACACAGTTGACAGAATAACTTAAAGGTCAAAATCAAGTAGAAGGTGCCATAATTAAAAGAACAAAGCAAAAATCTCAAATAACCCTCCTTCCCCTCTCTTACATGCAACAATATTAACTCAAAAAGACAGACAAAGAAGAAAAGTCTAGCTTCCTTACTTTCCAACTTTTCTTGGCAAAATAAAAGAAGAAGAATGAGGACGGAGTAAGTGGAAGAAAAATTATATTTAAAAAATTTACCTGAGCTGTGCAGAGCTATTATCTGGGTTCCGTGACTCCCGCCCATCTAGCCGGATCAGGGAGTGTTGCCCAACATGTCTATAGACCCCACCCTGGATAGAGCTGACCAGCGGTGTGGGTACCACGGTCAGTCGCTCCTCAGCCTCCGAGTACACAGGCACTTGTGTACCATTCATCTCCACCTACACATGGACAAACACAGATAGCATACAGTAAGCTCTCTTGTAAATCACTGATTTCAGTGTGTTACAATATTAAAAAACTTAACATGTCATTGTATAACCATGAAAATGTACTTAAAATGTTTCTCTTCTATTATTACAAAAATCAAAACAAAAATTACTCAAGGAAAAAAAACGAAACAAAAAAGCTGACGTGAAAAGAAAAGCAAAACATTTTTTTTGTTTTAGTAAGACCTTTACAGAACTTGCAACACAATAAGGTCATATATCAGAAAAGTGCCGAAGATCAGAGGTGTTATTAGAGAGTAACAAACACAAAAATGAAGGAGAAGACATTAGGACGATAAATGTTTGATAGGAAAGAAAGAGCAGACCACACTAGGGCACCCACAAACCACCCACCCCAATATTTTCCTATCATAGCTGAAAACAAAACCATCTTCGAAACTAGCAGCATTGAGAGCGTAAGAAAGGATCTCACCTTAAGGCGGACTAGATATTCCCCGACCCCCAGCACCCACGGAGGGAGGACGAGGGCTGAACACTTCAGGTGTTTGTTGGTCTTTTCATTGGTGGCCCACGGGACCCTCAGGCTGAGCGAGCGACGGAACTTTGTGTCCACCACAGACCAGCCAAACTTGATCTGGGTTGTTCCTGAGCAGTTCACTCTCACTTTGGACTCGATCCTTATGGTCTCTGAGCGTTCAAACTGAATCTGTTGAAGAAAAGGATTTCATCAATTATCAGAAATTAAAAGGGGGAAGGAATGAAAAATCCATGGGATCTACGTCATGGCAACAAAGTGACCACTTTTGTAATACTTGTAGTGGCAAATGTGTAACCGTTAAGATCAAATACTACATTTCTTAAACTAAATTATACAATGACAGCATTAAACTAACACTTCAATAAGATAAACCTAGAAAACCCATCCTTGTGCCGCTATACTGAAAAAAGGTACAACATTACAGACTTCCAGATAGGCGCAACAAAAAAATCATTACTAAGTTCCCAACTAAATCCGTTGGCCACATACACACCAGCAGCAGAAACAATAACATTCTGAAACAGAACGGCTAACCAGAAAGTTTCCTTTGGAAAGAGCACTGACCTCAGCTCTATCCAAGGGCCTTCTGACCGGTGCGCCCAGTATTGTGATGTCTGGCGGGTCACAGGGCTGCTCCATGATGAACACTTTCCGAGTCACCTCCCCCCTGCTCACCGGGTTCTCCGCTGTCAACCGAATGATGTACTCACCAATTCTGAAACATTCAAGACAAAAGATAAGAAACTTTACAGTTGGGAGAAACGTTCTTTCCAATTTCTCTCTTCTCACAAAAATTCCTCAGTTTACTAGTATGACATACAGCTGTTTCCGATATTAATAGTTATAGACAAAAAGAAACAAGCCAGACCATAGTTCAGAAAAGAATGAAGATAGATGTAAGAGAATTCAGTTATAGACAGGCAAGCAAATATTTGTGATGAAGGTGCAGTATCTAATCAGTAGACTGGATAACTTCCATGATATCATTGACCTTAAAAAGAAGGAGCACACCACACACCAGAGCAGCCATTACCATGTTATTTACTTGAAAGAAAAATTAGACAGAAAAGAGTACACTCAAACTGGCTCTATCTCTCATACCTGGAGTATGTGTGTTCAACTTTTCCTCGGATACTTCCAGGCGTGGCCTCAGAGCTATTGACGACCTGTGGCGGCGAGCCATCGCCAAAGTCCCATGTGAAGACAAGAGAATCTCCCTGCCAGTAGTCAGCCATCATGTGCACAGAGGAGTTGAGCACCGCGTCGCCCAACAGTTTGATCTCTAGACTGTGCAGCTTGGCCACCACCAGCAGGGGAACAGCGGCCGATGTCACTGAACCCAAGCAGTTGACAGCTCTCACTTGTACATTGTGCCTGAAGAGAAAAAAAAAACCCACTATATTTCTTTGTCTTAGTTTTAGCTAGACTTGTATGGCTCTTGCAGCATAAATAAGTCATATAAATACGGAAGAATAGGTGTTACCAGAGAGTGACATACAAACAAAAAAAGGAGGAGTGAAAAAGACGATAGATATTTGATATCAAAGAAGGAACAAACCACACTAGAGCACCTGCCACCAATCACCCACAATATTACTCCACTCAAACCATACACCACAATAAGCCTGCAGCACGCTGAGCAGGGCATCGCACTCACTAGGGCACCCATTTCTACTCCCCGAGCTTTGTAGCAATACAATGGGCGAAAAAAAAACCAACCTCAGTTTCAGGTGCTGGAACAAAACCAAACAAACTGATCTAACAAACAAAAGAGATTAATGGGATGGTCAGAAACAAAAACCAAGCTGGAACCAGGGAAGCATTCGATAAGCTCTACAGAAACCACAACATGAACATTACAAAGGCAAAAACCGCAGAGACAAACTATCCATTCAGGCTTCCTGCTCCACACAGACGTATGAGCTTCTGGAGAGTGTCAAGTAATCAGCTTATAACTAATCAATAGAACAAAGGATCTCCTGGGAGCCCACTACTGGCTCTCCATCCCTTTAATCTCTTCCAGCAGCACCAGGATATAATTAGCACCACAGCACAGAACCAAACTAGGAGATCAGTGCTGTATTGGAGAGGGACATGACACGCTGTCAGAAAGTCTAGGAATTGTCATCATTCATATCAGCAGACTCAGGCTGATCCTCGCATCCTCCGATAATAGAAATATAAAATACTAAAATACTGAATAACACAGAAATAAATACTCCCACAGAATATTAGGGCAGAGATAAAGCATTTGTTTGCTTGAGGAAAGAGAAAAACATCGACACAATAACGGTCACGTAGTGCTTAGGGGAAAAGGCAAGAAAGGCAAACATGAACAACTGAGTAGAAAAAAAATTCCTACAAAAAGTATAAAACATAGAAAGATGCTTTTGAAAAAAGCAGTTCATCACCATTCAGAGCTATGATGACTGCCACATTTCACAAAAACCATCAGCACATTAGAAAAACTTATTGAAAGAAATAAAAGAAATGAAACACTAGAGTGCTCATAAGCCACCACGAAGAAAGAGAACGCCAGACAAACATTTGAACAGAATGAAGCAAGGGAAGGTTTTAAAGCATACAGAGCTAAAAAGCACTATGATCAGAACAACAGTCAATTCACATATATATATATACCATTTTCATATATACTAAAAAAATAAAAGTCTCACCTTCCTGATCGTCTGTATGTGTAGGACAGCTTGTTATCATAGAGAGTCTGCCTTTGGTTCTGGCTGAACACCCATTCATACCAGCAGCCTTCTTCGGCGGATGGCGGGTTCATCTTGGCAGTGAAAACTGTGCTCTGTCCTGCCACCACCACAGTATCACTGACACTGAGGTTCACACCTACAAGGGTGGAGGATAGGACAATGAGCACATCCTTATAGAATGCATCAAGACCGATCATCTTTATTTCAGTTGTTCTCTTTTTTTTTTACATTAAACTTTTTTCCAATTAAAATGTGGCACTTTAAATTGAGTTCACTGCTTACAAAAAACATATACGAAAAATAGTACTGTCTGTAGGATGGCACTATGAGTAGTTCTACTTCTCAAAATCCAGGCTATATATATTTCATTTCAGTTTCTTTCTTTAGTTAATTCCTCCAATGCTAAATGGCTGTTATCATGCAAATCTGTTTTTCTTTCACTGAACAACAATAAATGAATGATGAACACGACATCCCTTGACAATACCTGCATAAAAAAAACCCAGCTGAGTATAAATGATATTCACCTTTCAGATTTTCCTTCAACTGATACCTATGACAGCTTGACAATTGATAGTCTTCACCAAGAATATTACACTAAAACACTTCAATTTTCTTTCTGGAACAAGACAACATATACCACATCTCCAAGCAGAAGACAAAAAACACATCTTCAAATATATGACAAGGCTCTAGCCTACAAAACATCAGTGAGCTAACAAGTTTATTACGATATCAACATATAATAAAAATGACAACAAAAATTATAATAACAATTGCAACAACTTTCACCAAAAACACGTATTAACAACAACAACAAAACCTCACCTAAAATCTTTTCACGAATCTGCACCCTGAGGTGAGCCGAGAAATTAGCCAATTTGTTGGAGGCTGTGACTTGAATGCGCTCATACCCTACTCTTCTATACTGGTGCTCCACATAGCCACCTGGAGACAAAAATTGAGACCTTTAGTTTCAAAACAACCAAGAAACCAGTCTCAAAGACCTGCTCAGAGAAATCGGCACAAAACAAAAATCATTCACAGAGGCAAATATTAATAAGGCACCCATCTCAGAGCACCATGAGTTATTTTCAACATTAGCTTTAAAACTTTATGTCTGTGTCAAATTCAAATCATTTTCAGTCCAATTACTACTTCATTTTAAGAATAACTTGATATTCACTTAATTTCCTGTGATAAGATAAATTTTGTTGCTTTCATAATAATTATTTACCTGCATCTATGAGCTCGGTCTCATCATCCAGCTTCCAATCAAAAGATACGTTTGTTCCTGCTTGGACCGAGGCATTGAAAGAGATGACCTCCCCAAACTGTGAACAGATGTCACTGGTGGTCAGCTCCAAGCCTGCCGGTGGATGCTGCACGTAGAACGGCTCCTGTAGCTGGACAGTCGCATTCCCCAGGGCATTCCTCGCAGTCAGAGTCACAATGTAAACACCCTCTGGGACAGGATGAAAATGAGGAAACATAAAATCCAATTTCAAGGATGTTATTTTTCAGTAATCTCATAAAACAAATCTGTCCCGCTTTTTTTCTTTCGGGTGTCTTTTAGCTTTTTATTTAGCTTCTCTGTTGCATTCTTGTAAATATAAATGTGTACTAGCATTGTTTGATATTTTAACTGCATATATGAGGGCTTGTAAGGTAACAAATAAGAAGGCCAGTTAAGGTATTATAATTAATTACTCCTACGTCTTGCAGATAACCTTGTAAAATATTTAAAGAAAAGTCTTTCTTGTTTCATCGTTCTTTTGTTCTTCTGAATCCAACTGAGTACTCTTCTGTCTAATAGTGTTTTTGTTGGGGGGGTTTTCATATCAATGATAGAAAGGAAATTATATTTATAGACAACTGAAGGGTGGACGTTCATTAAATTTAGTAGATGATCACACTGTCCTTGTCTATTGACAAACAAATTAATTAGGGAAGAAATTCCCACAGTAAGGTGTCGCTTGACTTGGGCTTGAGAACATAAGGAGCTGTTCTGGCGAGTGGTGGCGTGTGTGATCAATACAATTTGCTTGTTATTATTTTTTTCACTTTTTCTCTTTACCATGCAAGAAACCTCAGTAGCTTATAATGTCTATAACGTCTCTTCCTCCTTCATTATTATTATTTCTATTACCACCATCATCATCATCGTTATCATTATTATTATTATTATTATTATTAATAGTAGTAAATGACCCAACTAACACAAAAAATTTAAAATTTTACCTGCTGTGTATACATGCTTTGCCAATCCATGCATCATCGTCATGGGAACTGTCTTCTCAATGCCAGGGATGGTGGCCTTGTGTCCATCACCAAAGTCAAATGTAAACTCAACTGGGGACCCATCTGACCTGATGAACGTGACAAAACAACACAGTTGGTGAACAAGTAAAGCAATGTAACTCTGCCCACAATTCTTTCATGTCATACTAATGAAAAAAGGTGTTTTAAGTTGTAAAATACTAAAGATAATAGCCTATCAGCCTCAGCGCTAAGTCATTCTATACTGACAATGGTGCAGAAAACCACTGCTGTAATATGTTGTTGACTTTTAATAATAAAAAATCACAATCGTTTTTAATAAACTGAACAGTTTGCATAAGTAATTCAAATAATGATATTCCCAAACCTCATATAATTTTCTATACAAAACAAAATAGAAAAACCTACAAGAGTGAAACCATCCAAACTTTTTCCAGCACCGAGGGACTGAAATACTGAAAAAGGGAATATTGACTAGCCAAAGGAATAATTGAAGAGTCACCAGAGCCTTCCATTAGAGATGGTTGATGGACTGAAACAATAGTAGTGGACTAAATAGCCATCTTGTATTTTTATAGGTCTCAACACAGAGTCCTTGTCACACGACTAGACCTCTATCTCACATTTTATCATTGCAGTACCTTCACTTTCCAGTTTTACTTTTGGTCTTATTCAAGAACTAATAATGTTTTAATTTTTAACTCAATCATAATTTTACGCTTACAACATTATTATTGTGATAATATTTTTCCCCATCTTCATTAAAACACCGACTTACTTGGCATGGAAGGAAATTTCATCAGTGGTCAACTCTCCCTGTGCATTGACAGTCAGGGCTGCAGCATAACGCGGTGACTCTTCTCCTGGCGTGACCTCGGGCGTGACCTTCGCCCATGACACTGGGTCCATGACCACCACTGGGCCTGACAATTTGGCCGTGACGCCCTCCACTTGCAGGTGATTGGACACTGTGACGCTCACAATGTACGTGTCTGGGATGCTGAAGGCGTGAGAGGCCCAGCTGGTGTTACCCTCACTGGAAATGGAAAATTAAAACATTTGAGATCAGTATTAGACAAATAGTATCATTTCCCAAAGTTTAATTGACAGTAAACATACTAATAACCGGAAAAGAAATTTGCAGAGATAAACAATTAAAATCTTTTAACATAACATAAGGTATTAGAAACTCAATTTGAAAAAGATTTCACACATAAACAATGAGTCTTTTCCTAGTGTTTAATAAATTACAACCTGGGAGACACACAAAGTAAACTGCGATGAGACACAGAAAGAATTACTTAATTCGTTACAATGTCCAGCAAAATCTTTTTCTAAACTGCACTCAAAATGCATGTTCTCTAGAACTAATTCAGAAAATGTTGTGAAGTAACAAACGAGACAATGCAATTGAGAAGACAGGTTCCAGCCAGTGAATAAGCTAGACATACCTTTTGACTCTGGTTGGGAAGTCGTCCGAGAAGTCCCACTCAAACTTGAGATTTTTCCCAGAGCTGACGATGGCTGTGACAAACATTTCATCATCAATTGACATCAATAGCGGAGTGTCCGTTAGCAGCTCTACTGTGCCGATCCCCTCCTCCACAATGGCCGTGCGGCTGCGGCTGACATTAGACAACCCGTTGGACACCACAACAGACACGTTGTACTCCCCCACGTCGGAGTAGATATGACTTAAAATCATTTTATAAAGCGGAGCCATACCCTCCTCCCAGAAAGAGGCTGACATTTGTTGCTTTTCAAGACCTAGAATTTCTATAGAGAAGTCTGAGGAGTAGTTCCTGATAGTTCCATCCCCAAAGTTACACGTAACAAGAAAATCTTTTCCGTCCTCCACTAGCAAAGTGATGTTTGTGGGAAAGCCTAGTGTGCTGGGTGGCACATGGAGGGAGACATCAAGGATTGGGTACTTGACGCTGAAGACGACAGAGGCCTGGGCAGAGCTGATGTCATTGGACACGTTTACTTGAAGCGTGTGTGTGCCCTTCTCAGGGAATCCAGCAACATACTGAAACACAAACAGAGGACAATGTATAAATTTCCACAAAGCACTACCATATCATACTGTAAGAAAAACAGACAAGACAATAGGTTCCATAAAGCTGTACCATTAATCATAAAGTAAATGAAATCAGACTGCGATGTAATAACATCCACACAGCCCAACTATACATACCACACCAAATGAAAACAACAACAACATATTAACTTCCACATGGAGCTACAATCAAACAATCTATATATCTCTGTCACTCTTATCCCAGCTCGTTTCCTTCTAGAAACAACAATCATCCGTCTTTGTCCTCCCTCTCTCCTGCTTTTAAATTTTTATTTTTTTTCAGGGGAGGATAGAAGGTAATTTATATGACATTGTCATTTACAAGAACAAAAAGAAGATTATTGTTAGACACAAATAACAGTAACAGATAGCTCTTTGTAGACTCAAAAAAGAAGAAAACAATATTTAAAAAATAAAACTTTGAGAAATAGTTTTATTCTGAGATATCCCCAAAAGAGAATTTCAGAGCAGAGCCACAATGGCACAAACTACAGTGACGACATACTTACTTTGCTGATGGTGGTAGGTTGCTCAGGGTTTCCATCTAGAGACCAGACAAATATCAGGTGAGATCCCGCATCCCAAACCACACTCCACTCATGGTCACTGAAAGACAACAGGAAAAAAAGAAAGACATCAGCACAAGGGTCCAGTTAAAGAGTCTCTTTTTAAAATTAGCATGACAATGGACACAGTTCACAAGAACAGATTAATATAATTATGATATCATTGAGAAGAAAAAGATTGGGCAAACCAAACAAGTGTAGTAGCATACCAACTATTTTTTACCATCTACATAACGATTATTTGTGTGCGTAAATTTTTGCTGTGATTTTTTTTTTGGTTTGTTTTAGAGGATTTCCTAACCACAGTACACTTCCTTCTAAGATAAAAAGCTATCCCGATAATTGTGAACCATTTGAAAACCTGAGCATGACCTCAACTCTTCAAGGGCCACTGAATCTAAAATTAGGTTTCTTTGTAAGTATCAGACTTTGATGCAGTAATTCCAAACAAGTCAATAAGAGTCTGATCACAAAGACCTTGGGCCAACCATTCATCAGAGTGACCTCAAAGGGGGAATAAACTGGCAGCTTGGAGAAAATGCGACCTGGCCACCCTAAACTCAGTTGAGAAAATACCTTTCACAGATCATTTTCAGGAGAGAAACTATCAAGAACATTATTTTCGCACTTTTGAATAAAATTATAAGATTTCAGATTTTTTCATTGGACGGAGATTATTTTATCTTAATATTGGCAGAGTGTCTTCCTGGATATGACTAAGCATGCACCTGTGGTCGAACAACTGCGCACCTTAACCATGAAGCCAATAAATTGGGAACTGACACACATAGATGGACACATTAAAATCCAAAATGAAAAAAAAAACCCAACTCCAAAGAGCTCGCCAACACTATAACCCTCACTGGCTGTCGCACAAACGGCTCTGGACGGTGAAGTAAAAATCCTATTCTCTTAGCCTCCAAACTAACGAGCCACGGATGCCAAAAGGCCTGGGAGCGCTATTGCCATGGCCCGCTCTTGACTTCGAAAGGTCACCACCACGTTGAAAAAAACCGTCTTCAGCGCGCCAAAACGATTCTGGTCTTCCAGGGACGGATGATCCGCCGTGTCGAACGCGCGGGCCTGGCTCTGGAGGAGGAGATGGCACTCACCCACAGTGTGTTATATACAAGGGACGAAAAAGGAAACACGTGAGTGAGTGCCTGTTCCCTTGTCTTTATGTACGTGTATTGAATGTGTATCGCTGTCTGTGTTCAGGGCGGGTGTGGCAAGACGAAGATAGCCTAATGTTGTGCAGTCAAACGAGTGAACCTGAAGGAGGGAAAGGGG